ACGAAAGTCAAGCTGCCGCTCCCCAGACTGGTCTGAGCAGTAGCAGGAAAGGGAAAGGTGCTTGGATGGGATTTCGGGAACCACCAAGTCAGGTTGACCAATGTAAAATTCTGGGTTTGTAGTGCCACCTAGTGGGTGACAGTGATAGGAGCAGGACCACAGAAGTAGATGTCTTGGGTTTCCCACAGGAGTCCAAAGGAATCCAACTTGACCAGTGGTACAGCATGCTGGTCCACTATGCTCTGCAGTTCTAAATAGGGCCCCATCCAGGTTGTACCCTCACAGACTATTTATTCTGCAAGGTAGACTTGGCCTACAGAGTTGTGTGTGTGTGTGTGTGTGTGTGTGTGTGTGTGTGTGTGTGTGTGGTGTAGAGGCCAGACATTGATATCGAGAATCTTTCTCAATCAATCTCAAGCTTGTTTCTTGAGACAGAGTTGTTCACTGAACTTGGAAAGTGCTTATTGGCTAAACTGACTGGATAGCAAGCTCTGGGATCTTCCTGTTTCTGCGTCCCCAGTGCTAGGATTTCAGCGGTGTATACATCTGATTTACATGAGTGCTGGGCTCAGATCCCCGTGTTCACTAACTAAGGCATCTCCCCAGCTTCTAACACATGGTGGGTTTCTTCCCTACCCACCCCCATACCCTCTATTCTTAAAAAATATTTTCTTACATTTATTTATTTTGTTGGGAGGTAGGGGTGCATTATGTGCCACAAGCGTGTGGAAGTCAGAACATCTTGCAGAATTTGGTCCTCTCCTTCCACTATGGTGACTTCAGAGAACAAACTCAGGTTGTCAGTTTGGCGGTGTGAGACTTTATCTACTGAGCCACCATCCCCAACCCTTATCATATTATTTTTGTTTTAAATTATTCCACATAAAAATGTGGATTTCAGATTTTTAATATGAAGGTATTGGAACCCAAAGAGCTTTGAACTCTTTCACCAACTCCATGTTCACACACCTCAGCCTGCCTGGGGATGAGAGTGCTGAGCCCTGCCCCGGGTGGACCGGAGACCTCAGAGCCCTCCACACCATGAGGAAGCCATGAGTACTGCAACGTTTTTATTCTCTGCCATTAGAAGTTAGCCTCTGGCAGGCTTAGTGATCTCTAAAGCCGGAGGTTGGTGGGTTTCTGGGCACCTTGGGCTATACAAGCAGATATTATCTCAAAACGCTTTTAAAAAGTGGGCATGGTGGTGTCAACACTTAATCCCAGCACTCCGGAGGCAGAGGCAGATGGATCTCTGTAAGTTCAAAGCCAACATTGTCTACAAAACGAATTCCAGGCCAGCCAGGACTACACAGTGAGGTGCATCCCTGCCCCCCCCACACACACACAGAGAAATCTAACAGGCAGGAGAAATGGCTCAGCAGTTAAGAACACTTGTTGCTCTTGTGCATATGGTGGTTCATTTAGTTCTAGAGGAATCTTCTGACCTCTGTGGACACCAAACACAGATATGGTGCACACACATGCATGGAGGCAAAACACTCATACAAAAAAATGAATAAATTTTTAAAAAATAAAAACAAAACATAAGCGGGCTGGAAAGCACGTGCAGCTCCTGCAGAAGTCACCCGGACTCAGTTCCCAGCACCCGTGTTAGGTGGCTCACAGCCACACTTAATGCCAGCGGCAGGGGATTTAGCACTGTGTTCTGGATTCTGAGGGCCCCTGAGCTCATGTGTTCATACCCTCCTCATACATACACATAACTAAAACGATTTTAAATCCAGGCAAAAATTTAAAAGTGACAACACTTCTACTGCTACTACTAATACTAATTATATTAAAATATATATAAAAAATCTTGGGAGTCTTTTTGAATGATATTTTTACTAATCTTGCATAAAGAATTTCTTAGTGCATTTTATGCATTTTTTATGTCTTTTGGCCTCAGCAGCACTAATATGCATTTTAGACCATCCCGCTGTAGTTTTTCTTCCTTTTTTTTTTTTTTTTTGCTACATTTGGCCTTAGTTGATAATCTCCATCTCTTAAACAGCCTCAAATTTATCTTTCTTTTTAAGGAATCACTCATCTGGGGGAATGGATATGATTTTTTTGTTTGTTTGTTTGTTTTTGAGACAGGGTTTCTCTGTGTAGCCCTGGCTGTCCTGGAACTCACTCTGTAAACCAGGCTGGACTCGAACTCAGAAATCCACCTGCCTCTGCCTCCCAAGTGCTGGGATTAAAGGTGTGCGCAACCACTGCCCGGCGAATGGATATGATTTTGAGAAGCATTTTTTTTTCAAAATTTATGTAAGAGTTGTAGGAAACCTTTGTAGAAGTACTATATAGGCACATAATTGAGCTCCCTAAAGTACCGGGGCGAGGGAGCTCCTTTTAGGTTGGTACATACATTCACACACACACACACACTCATACAGTCATACATCTACATAAGTGCATATACAGTATGTATG